TTGCTTCTATTTTCAATTGGTTTGATCTGTTCCAGCTTTGATTTTCGTTTTAAAGTGAGTTCATATGCATGTGTAGGCATATATCAACTAGATGAGGCAATGAGGCAATGTTCTAGCCTTGGTGATATGAACTAAAGTGTTTGAACTTGATTCTGTTTTCATAAAATCTGCAGAAAGTTTCATTTCTGGTATCCATTAAAAGCAAGGAAATGCATTTAGCATAGCTTGGTTGCCTTAAAACCAGTAACACTTGCTATCCAATGTTTTTGTCAAGCTTTTTCACCGTGCTTGCTATCCTTGAATGTGTATTATGTGTTTAACATCCTCTAGCTGCTTATCTTCAGCTAGATCTAGTGTGTTAGGCTTTCTTCGAGTCATTGCAATTGCTGTCCAATTTTGATTCATTAAAATCTGATTTTTGGTGGTAATTTTGGTGCATTTTTGTTGCATAATAGGCTATAACAAGAGTGAATTGTTGAATCTTGCTGTTTTTGTGCATTTCCAACGTTTGAGCAAGTTTAAATTGCCATTTCAAAGTTGTTTGCACTATTCATTTGGTCATTTTCCAACATATATGCAAATTTGCCTTTTAAACCATCAAAATGTGCTTTAAAATGGAAGTGAACCAGTGATTTGGTATTGCAATATGTTTCTAAGTTGTTTCAATGTTTGAACATCTTTAAAATGATGATACAAAGTTGTTTGATACCTCAATTTAGCAGCCGAATCACTTCCAAGCAATTTTGGGTTAAACCACCACATTAGAACCATTTTTCTGGTGCAAAATTATTTCCAAGTGTTGTTTGAAATTTTGCATTGTTTAATTTCAAATTTTGGGTTGGCAAAAGCTGGTTTAGTGTTTCCAAACGAAATTACATGATCAAAGAAGTGTAATCAAGTCATAAAAAGCAATTAAAAACCGTGAAATCCAGTTTTGAAGCCCAAAAATCAGAAAAAGAAGTGTAATAAAGTCATAAAAAGCACTTCATTGGGACATTTTATCCAACACTTTTGCATTTTATCAAACAGTTTGCTGAAACTTGGAAGTTAATCTGTGATTTCAGTTTTCTTGCTTGTTTAATCCATTGTAGTTCCTTTGTTAGGTTCCTTTTGTGCTCCTTCTATCGTTCAACACCTAAAACCATTTGAATTGCACTTGTTTGCCTTCAAATTGTGCTATCCAAATCTGTTTGAGTGAAAAAAATCTGGTGCAGTGAAACTGCTATTGTTGGTGTTCATAGGGGGAGCAATGTGATAGCTGAACCCAATCTCTATTATGTTGTTTTTTATGATGGCAACACATTAATAGCAACAACACATGAATGTTGTAATGTCACAACAAAAAAGTTTTTTTGTGTTGTTATACATATGTGAATTTGTACATGCTTATTGTGATAAATGCATATACTGTCACAAATGCATATGTTCGACATACTGTGTGGTTTATGCATGCTATTGTGATTATGATGTGATTATATCTGTGTATGCACATTGTATGTTTATGTGTATTGAAAACCACAAGCACAAAAGCACATCTGCATGACATAATCGATTATAGTGTTGTAGTAATCAATTAAGGTCATCAGACAACTTATGTTTTGAACTATGGCAAAACAACTAGTTTGAATCGATTACATTAGGTGTTGAATCGTTTAAAATTTGTGTGTTTACAAATATCTTTTTCAAATGTGTTGTGATGAGTTTTTGGGAAGAAAAAGTTTTCAAAATGTGTTTAAGTGTTAAGCTTAATCGATTACATGTGTTGTATATTCAATTAAGTATGTTAAGCTTTGAAAACTGATTTCATGCTTGTCTTAATTGCTATAACGGTCATATTTTTAAATATGTTTGACCAAGAATTTAATGCAAATTGACTACATTAATTGTACATTCAATTAAGAGCTGAGTTAGTTGTAATATTGTTACAACAATTTTTATGTAACCGATTACACTACTAACCTAATCGATTATTTTGCATCAGAACTGATGAAAACTATATATTGACGCATTGTTTGAATTTCTGTAACTTTTGATCATTCTAACATTTTCATACTTGATTGTTTTGATATTAGAAAGTTTACATATTACTCAATACACTCCAAGAATCAAGAACGTGAAGAGTTTGAAGAATCTTGAAGAATTCTTGTGAGGCATCTTTGTGGATTACATTGACTGATCACATTAGTACGACTGAAGGTGCATCTGTATTGATCAGGAGAGAAGATTTGCAATCTTTGACTTGCTGTTTCCCTGGACGTGCGCATCAGGAAGAAGAGTGATGTGCTCTTGACTTTAAGAGGGCATTTTCAAAGGGTTTCTGCAACAAGACCGTGGGGTGTTGTGTTTCTAGGTGTAATTGTTTCTATATTTGATTGTTTGAGTAGGAAATGTGTTTACTTTTTGGTGTAATTCTCCAATCATTATAGTGAAATATCCTTCAATCAGTGGTTGATTGGAAGGGTGACTGGATGTAGGCATTGAGGTCGAACCAAGATAAAAACTATGTTTGAATTTCTCTCATTTATCTCTTTACATTTGCATTTACTGTTTCATTGCACACATATTTGCTTACTACACAAGAAAGGTTTTAAGAACTTTATACTTTGCGAAAAAGATATAAAAAGTGCAAGTTTTTAAAAAAACACCAATTCACCGCCCCCTCCCCCGCCTCCCTCTTGGTGTTGAGAAACAAGTCTCATTATTTCTAACAATTAGCACTAAAGCTGGTTTTCAAAAGTTATTTGAAAAACAAATTGATTACCGTGTTTGTATAATCAATTAGTTGATCCTGAAATGGCTTTTGTTTCTCAAACCTTCAGTGAAGGTGCATCCACAAATAGGGTTGATATCTTTGGGCAGCAGAGACGCGGAAACACATTTTTTCACTCTCTGGAGGCAGAATTGGATGCGGGAGCTCTCCTCTTCAGTTTCTAGGGTTTTTCTATCACTTTCATTCCATTGCACACCTAGTTTCTCCATGATTATGGAGAACTAAACTCATTTGATATTGGGGAAGATGTAACCTACTCTCATGTATTTGAATTTGTTCTAAATTATTATATGATTTTTCATTAATTGTTAGGGATTTTCTCCTTTGCTCTATGCTTGTTATGTTTTGATCATTCATGGCATGATTTTATGGTCTTCTTTGTTATTGGGAAATACCTAGAAACCACAATCTAAAGAATTTCTCCCAAAAGCAATATTGCCTAGTGATGGGGATAGGAGGTTTGGTTGTCTTGAGCTATTGTTCGTAATGAAAAATTAATTATTAGGGATGCAAGGGATTGTGGTCTAATAATTAAGGATAGGCTTTCTTCGTCGAGGGATCGGGTTTTAAGTAATTTAGATAGTGACATTAACAATTGAATGAAGAAGATGAATTCTTATATGCATGAGAGTAAGGATGGTGAAATATAAACCCCAACAACATACTCATCTCATATTATCAAAATCATCCATTCACACTTTTGTGTCTTGTCCCAATTGATTAAATTGCATTCATATTTACTTTTTTTGCACTTTTTCATTCTGAACAAATGAAATTGTTCTTAAGTCTTAATTAGTTAACGTATTACATGACTGTCTAGTGCCGTGAGTCTTTTGGGATACGATACTTGGTCTTACCATTTTATATTACTTGATACGATTCGGTACACTTGCTGATGTGTTAACAATTATCAACCTGTGAGGCTGAGTACGTTGTAGTGTCTTAGAGTGTGTGTCATGTTGTTTTGCTTAGAAATCTACTAAGCACACTAGAGATGAAGCAAGAAGAGAATATTGTGATCTGAGTGGACGACAGGTTAGCCATTAAGCTAGCAAAGAACTTGGTCAATCATGAAATAAGCAAACACATTGATGTCCAATTTCATTTTTTTAGGGAAAAAAATAAAGGAAGGAAGTGTGGAGTTAGAACATGTGGGAACTAGAGAGTATATTGCTCACAGGTACACAAAGCCACTTCCTGTGGTATTGTTCCATGAATACAGGAAGTTGATTGGGATGAAGGAAGTAAAAATTTAAGTTGATGAGAGAGTTTTATTGGAACAAATTTAGGAGTTATTAGACAATTATTATGAGTGGTAGTGTTTAATGTATTCAGAGAGCAAGAGTCACAAAGTTAGTGTATTGTATGGCCCAGACGACCATACATTTACCCCACACCTAGCAAGCTAGACGACCTTAGAGAACAGGAAATAGTTAAGTAGCGACTGAACGTGGCAAAAACAGTAGGCAAGACCGAACAACCAGCAGTAGAGATGTCCGACCTTAGTCAATACACAGGTTTTTCTACAAAGATTAAGGTAAATGGTAATTAGAGGTATTGGGTTGAGATTGGGTCGTGATTAAGGTTTCACTAATCTCAAGCCCATGCAAAAAAACTATAAATATAGGTCAAAGGTAAGAGGTAGGTGATCACATTTACTATGCATTTAATACCATTACACTGAACTCCCGTACAGACATCTCACTAACTTAAGCATCGGAGAACCTTTGGCAGGTACACCTCCGAACGATGAAGTGAAGACAAGGATTAGAAAAACAACTACCAAACGATATCTCAGAAAAAATTGTGCATGTGTTTGAAGTGACTCGAACTTACCCAAAATAGTTAGGATGTTATGTTTTTATAATTATAGTCATTATAGTATTGTATTTTGTACAGAAATTATGGCTAGAAGATGAAAGCCCACATGTTTGTCCTTTAAATTGTAATATTCACGTGAAATGAAAACACATAAAAGCAGATAATTTTAAGTGTCATTTTTCTAACAGTAACTTCATATAACGTCTGTTGTAACTTTATGAAATGTTCCAAATGTCTGAGTAGAAATATAAGTACATATATAAAGAGAGTAATGTTTTGCATATATGGAGGTATCATACATTCTGATTCTCAACCTTAAGTAACTTCATACAACATTTGTAACTTTATTAAATGGTCCAAGAGATGAAATATAAATACATATATAAAGAGAGACATCTTACGGAGGGTATCAAACATAAGCATCTGAGAGCAAACGAGGGCTAATGATGGCTGAGAGAGGCACTGCCTTTTGCAAAGTGAGTCCAAAGGCCTCATCCATGCTTAACTCTTGACCATTAGGTAACTTCCACTCAAAAGAATGCACCAAAGTGCCCAAAATGTACTGAATCACCACAATAGCCATTCTATAGCCTGCACAAATCCTCCTTCCAGCTCCAAAGGGAATTAACTCAAAATGAACTCCAGTAGGATCAACTTTTGCACTCTTCCCTCTGAGAAACCTCTCTGGATTGAACTCTAATGGGTTTGACCACACATTGGGGTCTCTCCCTATTGCCCATATGTTGACATTCAGCCTTGTGTTCTTGGGGATGTAGTACCCATTAACATTGCATGCTTCAGTTGCCATCCTAGGAACACTGAGGGGTGTAGACGGATGCATCCTATATGTCTCCTTGCAGATTGCTTCAAGGTATGGTAATTTGGGTAGGTCGGATTCAACAAGGACTCTTTGCCTTCCTATTACTTCATCCAGCTCTTTTTGTGCCCTAATCAAAATATTAGGGTTTTTTAACATTTCAGCTAATGCCCATTC